TTACAACATTCTTTCTCTCTCTCCTGCTCACCCCGGGAGTGAAGCATATCCCTCCCTGCCACTGTTATGGAGTGAAGTTTACTCCCCCCGGGTCAGCTCAGTCACCTCTGCCTTGTGTTTAATTCAACCGTCCTGTTTAGGATTTCTTTTAATTGGGTGATTTTCTTCATGTCAACTGCTGGGGGTGGGCAGGAGGAGGAGGAGAAATGCTGCTGGCAGACGTTCCTGAAGCTTGTCAGGGTCACGATGGAAATGTGAGCTAAGTTCATCCTCCGCTCACTCGGGCCATGTGGGATCACCTGCGGTATCCAGAAGTGTTCTTGTGATGTGCCATTTAAAAAAAAAAGTTTCCTAAGCTTCAAGCTTTCAGCTCTTCAAATATATTATTCGTGCCTCTCCTTAAAATCTCCTCCAGAGGAGTGTAGTAAGAGTGATATTGATGTTAAGTTGTCCACCTAATATCAGTGCTGGTGTTCTGTTGAATGTTGAACATGTTGATTGCACAGTCTGGTTAAATATTTTTAAGATATTCTTAAAATGATAGTGCCAGGATTAATTCATTATCCTTTTATCATTGCAGTACTGGCATTGCTGACTAGGCATATTGTTTTTATATGATCCCAGAATAATCTTGTCTACTTGTAGAAATCTCTGTATTTCTGTCCCTTAACTATAAACTATTTTATCTCCCATTAATGTTTAATGCACGATGTGATTGGAGACAGCTTTAAGATATGTGAAAGCCTTTAAGTATAAGTGTGTAAGATTGAGGTTTGAGTCGTTACATTGATGAATTTAGCCTAATACCACTGACATCATTACCACCTTCTACCTAAAGTGGAGACTTGAGTCCAAGGAGTTCAGTTGTGTTATGGTTCTCTTAACTTTTAGATCTGTGTGTACAGTCCCGAAGTCTGTTGCATTCTCCTTCAGTTGAATGGCTTCATGAGTTATGAGGGGTTTTAACATTTCTGTCTTGTGTGATGGCTTCTTTAAACACCACCTACTAAACCAATAATAAAATCAAAGAATCTATTAAATTGCTAATCAGAATACAGTGGGATTTATGTGCACAGGCTGAAACTGCTGAGAATTCTGCATTCTTAGTGTTAGTTGACTGGGGAGGACAAAGAAGTCAGAGACAAAATACTGCAGATGCTGAAAATACCCTGTCATTCAGGTAGTGTCTGAACTGACAGAATCAGAGTTAACATTTCAGGTTGATGACCTTTTATCAGAATTGAGAAATGTTAAAGTTTTACAACTTCTCAAAAGTATAGACATACTTATGGCGAACAAAGGGAAAAGTTTATGATAGAGTGAAATTGAACTTCTGTGATAGAGTGGAAAGCCGTAGACACTAAATAACAAATGGAATGATACTGCAAAGTAAAATATGTCACCGAGCAAAGAAACAGAAACAAAGTATGTAGAAGACACCATTTTGGAAGAGCAGAATCGTGGTTAATAGTTACTGTCAGAAAGAATTGGTGGCAGAGTTTATGGTCTCCAATTGTTGAACTGTGTTTAGTCCCAGGAGGCTTATAAAATGTAAACTGGAAAGATGAAGTACCATTCTTTGAGTTATGTTGAGTGATGTTGGAGCAGTTGGAGAATGAGGTCTTTCATGTTAAAGTGAGGAGGGATGAAACATTGAGATGACACGAGACCAAGAGCTCATTGTTACACCTGCAAAAAGAAATTGCAAGTGTCCAGTCGCCTTACACCTCCATTTTCCAGCAGCCTGAGAGCTGTCCATTGCTACGTTCACCAGAAGCCCCACGATTTGTAATGCTTCACTGCCAACATTCCATCTAACTTTATTTGTAGCCGCGCAGACATCCTGAAATTCATGCACAGCAGCAGCTTTCAGAAGTGGGAGCTATGCATGCTGATCAGTGTGAACAGAGTTTCCCTGTGGCCATGCAGCTTAGAGAAAACATCCCCCCCGCACCCTGCTCGCAAGGCTGAAGCTGCTGTCACATTACCAACTTCTCCTTTTGATTCTGGTTCACATGTACAGGAATTCCACATTGGGCCTAACATTGTATAACATTTCATTGAATATGTGGAATGTGCTTTGTTCTAATCCTACACAGGTTCATTCCCTCCCCTTTTTGTATTACATTGACTGTATCAGCAGCAATTCCAGCTGGAAAAATTTAATCAACTTTGGTTCTAATTTGCATTCTTCCCTCACTGTTGTGTGGTCCTTCTCTCTCTCTTCCCTATCTTAATTTCTGAGGATAGACTAACATACTCTGATCAAAAGCAAAGTTGCTGGAAAAGCTCAGCAGGTCTGGCAGCATATGTGAAGGAAAAAACAGTTAGCATTTCGGGTCCGGTGACCTTTCCTCAGAATTGATGGTGGCTGGAAAAACGTCAGTTTATTTTGCAGAAAATAGGGAGGTAGGTGGGGTAGGGAGTAAACGATAAGATAGAGCCCAGAGAGAGAAAGACAGTTGGACAGACAAAGGAGTTGCTCACGATCAGACTGGGAGGGTGAATAGTTGTTAATGGGGACTGTTAGTGACTAACAACAGCAGGTTTGTAATGGCAGGCTATGTGGTAACAAGGCCTGGTGTGTGGGGTAGGGGGCTGGGACATGGGAGAGATTAGGCCCTAAAATTATTGAACTCGATATTGAGTCCGGAGGGCTGTAGGGTCCCTAAGCAGAAAATGAGGTGTTGTTCCTCCAACTTGCATTGGGCTTCGCTGGAACACTGCAGCAAGCCAGAGACAGAGATGTTGGCTAGGGAGCAGTGTGGTGCATAAAAGTGGCAGGCAACAGGTAGGTCAGGGACTTCTTTGCGAGCAGAACGTAGATTTTTTGCGAAGCAGTCGACAAATCTAAGTGTCATTTCCCCAATGTAGAGGAGACCACATTGTGAGCAGTGAATGCAGTAGACTAGATTCTGGGAAGTGCAGGTGAAATGTTGCTTCACCTAGAAGGTATGTTTGGGCCCTTGGATTACTGGGGAGGGAGGAGGTAAATGGGCAGATGTTGCACCTTTGCTGGTTACAGGGGAAGCTGCCGTAGGGCTATGAGGAGGTGTTGGGGGTGTAGGAAATGTGGACCAGGGTGTCCTGGAGGGAACGGTCCCTTCGGAAGGTGGATAAGGGAGGGGAGGGGAATATGTGTCTGGTGGTGGCATCTCGCTGGAGGTGGCGGAAATGGCGTCTGATGATCTTTTGGATGTGGATGCTGGTGGGATGGTAGGTGAGGATAAGGGGAACCCTATCGCTGTTGCGGGAGTGAAGAGAAGGGGTGACGGTGGAAGTGCGGGAGATGGGTCGGACCTGGTTGAGGGCCCTGTCAACACCGGAGCTGGGGAATCCTCGGTTGAGGAAGGAGGTGGACATTTCGGAGGCTCCCTCGTCAAAGTTGGCCTCATCTGAACATATGTGACGGAGATGGAGGAACTGAGAGAATGGGATGGAGTCTTTACAGGAAGTGGGGTGTGAGGATGTATAGTCCAGGTAGCTGTGGGAGTCAGTGGGTTTGTAGTGGATATTAGTGGCCAGTCTATCCCCAGAAATGGAAATTGAAATGTCAGGGAAGGGAAGAGAGGAGTCAGAGATAGACCAGGTGAAAGTGAGGGCAAGATGGAAATTGGAGGCGAAATTGATGAAATTTTCCAATTCCAGACAAGAGAGGGAAGCAGCACCGATGATATCATTGATGTATTGAAGAAAGAGTTGTGGTTGGGGGCCGGAATAGGACTGGAACAAGGAATGTTCCACATACCCTATGAAGAGACAGGCATCACTCGGGCAGATACCCGTGGCAACATCTTGTACCTGAAGAAAATGAGAGGAGTTGAAAGAGAAGTTGTTGAGGGTGAGTACAAGCTCAGCCAAGCGGCAGAGGAGGGTGGTGGTGGTGGTGGGTGGGGATGGTTCAGGTCTTTGCTCCAGGAAACGAAGCGTAAAATTGGTGACCGTTTCGCAGAATATTTACGTTCTGCTGGCAAAAAAGACACTGATCTACCTGTTGCCTGACACTTTAATGCACTACCCTGCTCCCTAACCAACATCTCTGTCTCTGGCTGGCTGCAGTGTTACAGCGAAGCCCAATGCAAGTTGGAGGAACAACACCTCATTTTCCGCTTAGGGACCCAACAGTCCTCCAGACTCAATGTTGAGTTCAATAATTTTAGTTCTGAGGAAGGGTCACCGGACCCCAAATGTTAACTGTTTTTTCTTTCA